ATTCTACAAACTGGCAAAGAAAAAAGGGATGAGAGTTGAGGGATTTTAGAGACAGTTATTAATGGTTTTGATTAGTTTTTTAAAACTTAAAATACTATAGCCACTGACTTAATATTAAACAAATTATACATGTGTACTGTCCTTAATGAAGGGCCCAAATGTGCCTTTAAAAAACAACTGAAAAAAGGAGTCTGCTGAGTATTTAGTAGGACTGCAAACTCCCCACTCCAATCCCAGGAAGTAAGCACAATTCATTTTCAGAAAAATATAGAGAAAAGACTAGATTTCTCTCTCTTAAGAGGAAGGACCACAGACAATTTAGACTTCAAATACAGGTCTGCTGTTTTCAATCTTCTTGTGAACTAACATTTCATAACCAAAGAAAGTCACAAAAATTTGGCACAAGGGAGGCATTTTTCTAGAAAAGTAGGGGATACCATTCGTGAAAGGAGTAAAGAAGGAGAAAGGGCACAAATGAACTAGTATTTGCTGTCCTCCTAAAGTAAAAGTCCATGCTACTGACCCACCAGCAGAATAGTCAGACTTTCTCTGGTCTCTCCTAAGGCCAAGGGCAGATACTTAGAAGATGACTAGCTAGGGATTAGAGGTATCTTCTGTAGTAGCGGCAAAGCTAAGTGGCCCACATGGGGACTGAACCCATGACATTTGGGCAGAGATCAGCCTTTACCTGATGGTTACTATACATACAAAATTAAGCCAGTATCACAAAAAGAAAAGGAAAAATTTTGAAAGGTTTGGCTCTGTCTAAGGCTATGATTTCAAAATACAAATGACCCCCTGTTTGGGGAAATGACTTATCTTTGGACCAGTCTATATCTCAGAGTTATATATCCTTACATTAACCATCTTCAGATCTAGATTCTCTCCTAACAAGAAAAACAACCTTTACCTAAGACCCGAGGTGGAAAGACTGTAACTGTGGTTCACCCAGGCTCTCCCTATGGCTTTAATTCTCAAAGTGTGCTCATGGCTTCTAACACACACAGGAAGGAGACCTCACCTTCAGGCATCAGGGTGTTGAAAGCGGGAGGAAGTAGGTCCACGAGGGTGTCTTGCTTTTGTGCACTTATCTGGGGCGCTACTTTCCAGAGAAGGAGCTCCTTTATAGAGTGTGCCCATGGTGGATTTCTCTAAGTTGTTCTGAGTTGTCCAGCTGCCCTCACCAATAAGTCACAGTCTTTTGAAGGTTGATAGAAACCATCAGTCAAAGCAGATGCATATGGATTGTGGGGAAGCCTTCTTTAGTATCTAACATAGCTGGATTAAAACAAAAAAACTTAACCATTAAGCAAATCTTGACTTTAATCATTAATTTAGATTATAGCAGATAAGTACTATTCTTAAGAGCCTATTTTTCCTTGATATGGGCATTTAATGCCTATTAATAGACACTATGGGTACCTGACTAAAGATCAAATTGAATTCTTAATTTATATCACGTAAGGAAGTTGCTTTCAAACCAGCGACTGACCTCCACAATTCTTTATTAGCAACTTGACTCACCATCACTGAGGTGGTTAAGTACTAGTTCTAAGATGACAAGTTATTCTGTATGCAGCAAGTTGCTCTCCAGAGGATAATTTGCAGTTTGCAATAACATTTTAAAAGAGATTTCCCAAGAAAACTGGATTTTCCAAAACATGATCAGATGAAATTAATCAGAGTTCATGACATTAATATAATATGCACACATGCTAGGCAAATTTGGTTCAAAGCATCCATCTTACAGAATTTCTGCTACACTACCCTCATTAAAAAGTGCCTGAATGACATTCTTCAATGAAAATGGAGTCTGACTAGATGAGACTGTTGACAACATTTATTTTCTGGGTCCAATATGAAAATATATCCAATGGCCAAAAATCACATTAAGCTAAATTTCATTTTCCTTTGCAATTCAAGAGCACAATCAGTCTAACGGGCTAGACTTAACAAAAATGAAATGCTCTCTGCATTAAAAAAAAAACGTGAACCTATCATGAAGTATAGTTTTCACCATTTTTGAATGCCAAAATGACATATAAGGCCAGAAACTTAAATTGTTTTTCAAAGGGCTTCCTTTTATGACCTTCTTAATTAAAACAACAACAACAAACTTTTAACCATACAATTAAAATAGCAAAATCCTTCATGAGGGAGATAAAAATAAACTTATAGCAAATGTTACAATTCCAAAAAACATTTCAATTACTTCACATTTTCATCTTACTTTTATTCCAATCCTCTAATATATTGTACCACCACAAGATGGATTTGTTTTGAACGAGCTGAAACTGTTTTACAGACCTGTCTGCACTTGCCCAACAAAAGACCAACTTTATAGTCAATCTAGCAAATTAGGTAGTGGGGGCACAGTTCCTGGTTGTGAAAGAGCATTATCATTATTAGTGTTCTTGATAATTTACCGAGCACTGAGAAAAGTACTTAAAGTTGTACACTGAAAAGATTCAGAGATAACTCTAAAAGCTTACTCTCTCATAAACTATGTGCCCAAACTTTAACGGGGAGCGTTTAGATCCTACATTAAAAACTTCTTCTAAAACAGGAATGAATGCTTATTAAAAACAGAGAAAACCAAAATCCTCCAAACTATTTTGTTGAAATTGAACCTCTAGCTAGGTTTATGAACAAAGCACCTTAGCACAAGAATGGACAACCCCAGCAGCAAGCCAAAAAAAAAAAGTCAACTCTAGACAACTTTGCTTTGCTTCTGTGGCTAAAAAGGGGATGTGTCACTGGTGTTCGTTGAGGTAGTCTACACTTAGAAAGAATGAGAGCTAATTTTATAGCAAACTCTTCTTTCCCCAGACAGAGAGAGGACCGTCTCACTGCAAATGAGAATGGGAAAGCCTTGGGAGCAGGACTAATCCAAATTCTCAAAGAAAATCCAAACAATCAGCTGAAACTGACAAGGATTTTTTCCATAATGGAAACAAATCTGAAATCTGTGATGTGAGGAATGAAGTGAAAGCAAGTCTCCAGTTTGAAATGTAAATACCGTATGTACATCAAAACCAAGACATTCTTAGTTTTCTCTTCCCCCTCACAAATTACACAGACACCCACAAATGATGTTCTCCCGTGCCCAGTTTCACAGGACAGGAAAGGTAAGGGTTGGAAGTCTAAATCTGGTCTTGAAAATTATCACACCTTCTGAGCTCACATCTCTGATTTCTGAAGGCAGACTTTTGAAAGGAGCCACTGGGACAAATGCATCCATGACTTCCAAATACTAACCAACGATGGTCTGTCCTATCTTCTCTGGTTGATTTAAGGACATACCACCAAAGCACAGGATGCTCTGTTTTCAAAGACAATTATCATCTGCTTTCAATTACTGATTTGGACACACAGGCTTTTAAAATAAGCAGCAAAAAGACAAAATGATCCAATTAGTCATCAGCAGCAATTCAGTACACTCAAGTGTTTACATTTACAGTGATTTATAATACTTGATTACTTTTGTTTCAGCAGATAACCCCAAAAGCAACTCTCTGCCCTAATGATTTTAGAAATTGTCCTAATAATATAACAGAAACACAGACTGTGATCCCTCAGACTACCCAAAATACTTTCTGGGGTTCCATGTATTCCATTGCAAAACTAAATCCAATCAACCAAAGATCATTTTCAAAAGTTTAACTGTATGGATTTTGCATGTTTCCAAAGCAAAACAATATTAAGTTTGCTGGTTATCACCCATTTCTGTATTGTTTTCTGGAATTCATCAAAGGTAAAGCCACTACCACTACTCCTGGAGAGAATCAAAGATTATAAAAGACAGGCCTCCAGTGAGAATGAGAGGGTAAACCAAGGTGGCAGGGCTCACGTTCACAATGGCTCCAATCTAACACCAGTCTGGCCTCGTAATCAAGGCAGCATCACCAGCTTCAGGCCAAAGCACAGAATTTCCCAACAAAGACACCGAGCCTAACCAGCAGCCTCCCTTGGTCCCTGAAGCACATTTCCTTCCACCAGGCCTCATCTCTGCAGTTCAGGAGTGAGCCAAGCGTCCCCCGGGGCCTACGGCTTGCTTCCTTCAGCTCCAAAAGGCGCTGGCTCCCAGCCCTGATTGTGTGGCCTGCCCCTGCTGGGCAGCTGCTTAAGGCTCGGTTCCGAAGGCATGGGGGACGGTGGACTAGGGGGTGCTTGCCTCAAAGCCAAACCCTCCCTGCAGGCTTCTAAGAACCTCAGGTTTCTCTGCCACCTCCCACACTGCTAACTGTAGGGCCGCCTCTGTATGCATCGCATGGCACGTGCCCCTGGCTCCTTGAGATTGCCGAAACGGCTCAAGGGCTCAAGCTCCCGGGTCTGCAGTAGTAGCCAGGGGAAGGCTGTGTTTTGGGGTGCCCTGCCGTGACCGAGCTGTGCATGTGCTTCACGTGGGTGTGGGTGCCTCCCGAGGGCCCCACCTTGTGTCACTGTCACTTGGGGGGAGGGGCGATGCTCCACGAGGGTTTGTTTGCTTATGCGAATACTAGGTGCTGGCCACCGGACCTGCACGCAGTTGGACCTAGACCCTCCTCACCATGACCGAGGGGCACACAAGCTGCTAATGACTTCTGGGGGCCAGGCTCCCTCAGCGCATCTCCGGGCGTCGTGTTGCATACAAGTCAAGACCCAGGACTAGTGGGAGGAGGAGAGGGGGGCCTGAACGGCTGGGGGGCCAGTTAGGCTTCGACGGCCAGGCCAGGCTCAAGCTGTGCGTGTCACCGCATCCCGCGCCCCGGCCAATCCCGCGGGGAGTGAACCCGACTTTCCCGCCCTCTGGCCCGGATGGCGGTTGGTGGCAGTTGGAGGCGGTTGGGACTGGCCCCATCAGGTTGGAACCGGTCTAGGCCCGACCAGAAAAGGAGGGGGAGGGGGGAGAAGGAGAAGATGAGGGTTGGGTAGAGGCCGCCTCGCGCTCTCCCTGCGCGCGTGACTCACGCTAGCCGCTGACGTCAAGCGTGCGCGCGCGGCGGGGGGGCTCTACGTACGTGTAGTGCTGCGGTTTCTCGGGCTGCCTGCAGCACCTGGGCGGTGGCGGCCGGGGGCGCCGAGGAAGCCGTGGAGCCGCCAGGCCCGGGGCCCTTCGACATGGTCCTGTCTTCCTCCCTCTTCGCCGCTCCCCTTTTATTATTCAGTCTGCGCGGTCCGCGCCGAGGACCGAGTGCGCCTGCGTCGCGCCATGAGAACGTGAAGCACCCCCGTGAAGCCGGACGGACTGCTGGGAGTTGTGGTCGGTTACGCCTGTCCAATCCTAGCGTGAATCGGGACTTCCAACGAAGGAAAGGACCACAACTCCCAGGTATCCCGTGCGGTGACTGCCCCGGATGCTGAGGTGCCCGAGATGGCTTCTGGGGATTGTAGTCCTGAACAGTCTCGATTTCTTGCCAGTGTATTTGAAGCTCTGCGGGGAGCCTTTCTGTCTGAACCAGAGCCCCCATAAGCAGGAGGAGAGGCCAGGAACGGGGTCATACCTGAAGACACCTGTGAAATGGACTGTGTAATAGGTTCCCTATATCCCTGAATACTCTACGTGTGATAGAGAATAGACAGGGTACCAGTGCTTAGTTCATTGAAAGGATGAATCATTGTGGTATTTAATATTGTACATTATTAAGTAGTAAGTGTTTTTCTTTCTATCCTGGACCATCATCCTGGAAATGTTAGTCATCTGGAAAGTATCATTTTGGTCACTGAACCAAGAAGAGTTTTCTTCTTGACTGTGGTCGTCTGCGTTTTCTCTGAATAGCTGCTTCATTCCAGCTTATTTTTTTCCCCTTAATGTTTCATTGATGCTCTTTTTTTTTTTAAAGCAGCTTTGTTGATTTCCACTGACTCTGTCATAGAGCCTTCTCCGTTGTGACAAATAAGTGATGAGATCTGAAAATGTATGTGCCTCAGCCGTTGTCTCGGGCTCATCACCTCCCTGCTGAGAAACAGGAGGCGCGTTTCACCATCAGTCTTCGGAAGTGATGATTACGCCTCCTTTCAGGTGGCACCGGTAGAGCAGGAGCTAAAAGAAATTTATTCTTCCTTTAGGCTAGTCTTTCTGAGTGAGGTGCAATAGCGAATACCAAGTTATGGTCGCCAGAAACAAGCACTAAAGTGTCCAGTTAGGTTAAAGTCTTACATTTCTGGTCTAAACCAATCAATTAACAAGCCTACTATGTCCTAGATACTGTGCTAAACTACCAACTTTCTTTTCAGGAGCCCAGTGTCTGTGAAAGAGAGGAATACTCCCTTGCTGATTATTAAATTGTCTTTAATATACAGAATGCTTGAAGTTCTTAATTTCGTTGTGGTTTATGTCCAGATTAAACTCATTTATGATCTTAAGGTATTACAGATAGTTTTTAATAATTGACATTTAACTTACTTTCCATCTTGAAGGTTTTACAAACATATTTTTAGTTGAGTACTGAAAGGCTTATTTTTGCCATGTTTTTATTAGATGTGATTCACACTTATCTCTTTTTTTGCATTGAATATGTAATGGTTGTCATTAACGGAAAAAATCCTTAGTAACTTTAAGGAAACAAAAAAATTGGTGCCTTAAATGACACATGCATTTTCTTTATAACCCAACATAAACCCACAGGAGTTTTTACTTATTATCTGAGAGAAGTCAAAACAGATCAGAAGCCAAACCATTTGCCTACACAGTTAAAAACTTCAGTATCTTGCATGAAATCCGTAGTTAGCTTTATCTACTAAGGAACATTTGAGGATGGAATGTTCAAAAAGAACAAAACAACATGATGGTTTACCTCCATTATTTTTAAATTCAAAGTATTTGTTAGTTACTTTATAAAAAATGAGATTTCACTAGATGATCTTAAAGAGTCCTTCCAGGGGCAGCTAGATGGCGCAGTGGATAGAGCAGCGGCCCTGGATTCAGGAGGACCTGAGTTCAAATGCGGCCTCAGACACATAACACATACTAGCTGTGTGACCCTGGGCAAGTCACTTAACCCCATTGCCTAGCCAAAAGAAAAACACAAAAACAAAAAAAAAAGAGTTCTTCCATAACCAAGTTTGATTTGATTATGTAGTGACCCAAAGTCTCCAATCTAGTCCTTTTGTTGACAGAAAGAATAGCATGAGACTACTCCATTCAGTTTGAAATTTGTTAACTGCAGGCTATAAACTTCCAAAGCAGTGTTCCAAAGCTATTTAGGTAGATCTATTAGTGCTGATATTTTCAGCACCTCTGCCATTTGAAAAAAAATTTTTCTTTTTATTATGAACTTAGCAATTATTAAACAGACTTGAATATCTGTGTTCAAAGAATAGAAAAAAGACGATTATGTATGAAATTGTGAGCTTCCATTGTATAGTCTGTTTTTCTTAAAGTGTATATTAAAAACATACTTGGTTAAATATATTTGGTTTTTTAAACTGTATATTAAATTTAACAGTATAGTAACAAAACTGTCCAGTTTGTGTTCTATTCTGAATTTCCTTATGCTATCTTCTATGTATTTTGTTAATTTTATTAACCCTCCTTTCTCTTTTTGCATTTTTCTTACTATCCACCAGTTCTCGATCAGTCAGTCTCCTATTCCCTCCCCCACATAGAGGCTCTCCCTTGTACCAAAGTAGTGTGGTCAAGCAAAACAAATTCACATGCTGGCCATGTCTGAAAATGCCTCATTCTGTACCTTTAGTTTATCACCTTTCTGCCCAAAGGTAGGAAGCATACTTACTAGTCAATTACCTTCCTCCTTTCTTATGTCACTTTTCCCCCTGTTTTTCTCCTCTTAAGAATTTTTTTAAAAACACTGAATGAATGGTTGCTAGATAAAAGTGATAATCTGCCTCAAATGGTTGCTTGTATACGCAGTACCTTGTGATAGTTATTTTTAATTTGGTCTCATAATTCATTAATTCCTTTCTAGTGACTAGCAGACCTGGAAGAAAAAATGACCAGGGCATTCCTGCCATTAAAGGTGTGAGAATAATAGCATGATTAAATCATCTAGAAAAATCCTTGGACACAAAGAAGACCTTTAACTTGAGGCCCAGTCCAACTCCCGTTCCTTATCCACATAAAAAGGGATTGCCAAGGTATTTTCTCCAATTATGTCCCAAAGTGTTTTAACTGTTGAGTCCAAGGAATCACAAATAACCCCCCAGATCTACCTTGTCTTATATGGACACTGAGACTAAGCAAATAAGCTTTTCCTTCTCTATGGATCTGACTGTGAATGAAGGAGAAATGTCAACATGTCGCTTGTTTCGAAACTGAAGCTTTGTTTATGGCAACATTAATTTTTATTACATTGTGGGAGGCAGTGAGGTGTAGTAGGAAACTGGCTTTGGAGCCAGGAATCCCTGAGTCCAAGTCCTAAGTCTGGCATATACTGGCATGGTGACTTTTGGCAAGCCACTTAACCTCTCTTTCAGTGCTTTAGGCAAACTCTTTGAGACTGTAAGTTACAGAGAAGGTTTTGACCAGAGTTGGCTGAAGAAGGTTCCTCATCTTATAGTTCTCCTCACTAATCAAATGAAATCCCAGGTTCAGTCTCTATCCCTAATACACGACAATTCTAGGAATAACATTTGAAAGTCTTTGCTAATTAAACATTTATTTTGGGATAAGTATGTAGGTAAGCAGAGAAGAATGGACTTTTAAAAAGGAGACTGGAGCTTGGATAATGGCAGTGATATGTTTCTGCCACACCAAATAGTTATAGGACCTTTTGTGTGTCAAAGGCTGAAGTAATTCTGTGAATATACTATAATTCTCCTTTGATATCAGTTCACACTTATTTTTACTTATCTCATTTATTATCTCATTTATTTTTGGGGGGAGGCAGTTGGGGTTAAGTGACTTGCCCAGGGTCACACAGCTAATGTCTGAGCCTGGATTTGACTTCAGGGCCAGTGCTGTATCCACTGCACCACCTAGCTGCCCCTATGCCATTTATTTTAATATTTTCATTTAGCAGCAATGGGAAGCTCTGAACAGAAACTATAGATTAGAACATTCAGTGGTTCTTTGTTTCATTCTCCTTGCCTGGCTGATTTTAGGGAAATAACTGTTAATCACATCTTGGCATTTTGTATCATAAGCCTTATTCTTGAGGACTGAATGTCACAATTCATCTGAGATATTCACTTAGGCAAAGGGAAGGACCAATAATGAATTTTTTTTTCTTTTGTCAATCAGTAAGCATTTAAGGACATACTGTATAATGTGATAAGCATTATGGTAGGCACTGGAGACAGAAGATTAAAAAGAAAACACTTCCTTTCATGAAAGACCCTGCATTCTAATAAGGAAGACAACATGTAAGTGTAACATCTACTGATCCGGGGAACTGGAGTATCACCTTCCACTAAATGATATGGATTGACAAGGTTCAATTCTAAGGGGAGTCTGAAGAATTTTCCCATTTGGCTCTGGCTTTGGCTAGGGCGTCATTGGCCCATCATCCTGCCTAATAGTCATCCTTTCTTCTATGAAGAGTTGTAACTACATTTAGCATTTCCCCCACCTCACCCCCTCCCAGACTTCTGAAGTAGCCAACAGTTTAGAAAAATCCATATTTCAAGGTCATAGTCATCTGTGCTCAGGGAAAGATACAAAGCAGAAGAAGCTGCTGAGACCACGAAAGCTGGCCTTCAACTTACCTAAAACACATGCTCTTAGCGTCATGGGGAGGAGGGGGCGAGGGGGGGGGGAGAGTGAAGAAATCCTCCCCACCCCCATCATGAAAAGCCCAAAGGAAAGCTGTTGAAGTTTCAAACCACACATTCAGGAAAGAATGAGAACAGAGGTTGGCTCCTTTTGAAGTCTACTGAGTGGGTAGCCCTTGCAGCTAGACCAACTAGAAGCATTGCCTCCATTAGCAGGCTAAAGCATTATCTTCCCTCCCCCTAATAAAAGTGGCCAGGAGGCAGCCTCAGTCCTCAATGGGAAGTGTTCCAGGAACATGTCTCTGGAAGTGTTGGTGTACTAGAGAAGCAGCAGAGGAGGTTGATGGGTAATCCAGGGTTAGGGTGTGACAAGGCATGAGTGTCAAGAGAGGATAGCACAAAGTTTAACTGTTTAACTACAGGGTAAGAATGGGAAAGGAGAAAAGTGAAGCTAGAGCCAGAGCGATGGCCTAGGAGAACACCGAAGTATGGAGGATGAAGAACAGGTTTAGGAGGGGTGGAGCACAGGGAGAGAAAACAGAAAAGGAAGTAATAGTTGAATAGAGATATTTCAGAATTCTTGATAATGAAAGCAGAACACTTGTGGGTGATGATGAGAGCAAGAATGTCACCGTTCTTGTGTCTGACTCAAGTGGAGTCTTAAAGGTATATAGGTAGGTGGGTTTTAAAAGAAATTAATGAACTGGATGTTTGAGAATAGAGCTTATGTTAATACCCTCTAGTATTGCAGCCAGTAATGGCTTGGAAAGGAAGGCTGAACTAGGTACTGAACTCCTTGAGAAAGGAGAAACAATCACCTGTTCTCGGGGATGTGGATATGGTGACATCTGTATAGAACTCACTCATCAAAAGAGGAGTGGTTGCTAAGAGACTACAGCAAAGGGAGAGTGTGAAGTGTTACTGGGGAGGGTAAAGAAGGTAATATGGAGTTTTCCTACAACCTGATTACAAGGTGTGTAGAAAGTCCTCAACCATCCTGGTGGGCATGAGCATGAATGTGTTTGACACAACGAAACTTCTAGTGATTAGCTAAAAGCATCAGCTACTGATGCTTGGGACTATGTTAAAAAGTAAGCTGCCACAAAGAGGTCGGAGAAAGAGGGAAGAGGTCTTAGATATACCAAAAAATAGCTCTTTTTATAGCAGCAGAAAGAACTGCAAACTAATGGGGTACCCATCAATTGGAAAACAGCCAAACAAATTATGGTATGTGAATATAATGGGAATACTATTATGCTCTAAGGAGTAATGAAGAGAATGTTTTCAGGGAAACCTAGGTACAGACTGACGCTGACTGAAGTGAGCAGAACAGGAACACTTTATACTCTAACAACATTATAAAGATGAACAATTGTGAAAAGCCCAAGAATTTTGATCAGCCCAATAATCAACTATGATTCCTTGGTACCGATGATGAAGAATACCACCCACCTCTTCACAGAGAAGTCACGGATATACTACGTAGGACGAGACACACATTTTTGAACGTGGCCAATACATGGTTTTGTTTTAGTTGTACTGTGAGGGAGGGGAAAGGAATCTGGTCCCACTGTGGCAATGAGTTAAGGCAAGAGGAGCAATGGGGGTGGGGTGAGGGTGGGGAGTTTCCAGAGCTATAGTTGTAGGAATTGTCTTCTACCTAGGGTAGTCATTCTGCAGGGACCCCTAAACAGAAGGTGCAAGTTGGTAGCCCAGAGAGGTGCTGCAGAAGAATAGGATATGAGAGGCAGTGTTGCATAGCAGAAAGAATGCTGGGATCAGGAGTCACGAAGGCCTGGGTTCAAATCCCATTTCTGATACTTTCTAATGATGTGACCATGGGCAAGTCATTTAACTTCTTTAAATATCAATTTCCTTGTCTATAAAATGAGGGGGCTGGATTTGATGACCTCTGCGATTCCTTCTAGCTCTAAAATAATGATTCTGTGACTAGTATTCCTCCTGAATGGGTTCCATGATCCCAAAGTAAGGTATCTGTTGTACTGAAAAGGAAGGTCAGAGATTCAGTGTCTTTTGGGGGGGGCAGGGGGGGAAGGAGGAGTCAAGTTTTAGTACATGTCAAAAGATAAAAGGAATATGAGAGGAAGAGGTTTAAGATGATGGGAAGTTTGTTAATAGTAAAATGGGGGTTCCATAAGGCATTTGGAAGGGGAAAGAAGTGTTGGAATGAAACATAAGAGCAGGGGCAGCTAGGTGGCGCAGTGGATAGATAGAGCACCAACCCTGGATTCAGGAAGACCTGAGTTCAAATGTGA